AACTATAGTGTTTTAATAATCTTTATATAGATTTCTAGTGGTTGTAGCTATTACATTTTATACATGACTTATTACAGTCTTCTGCTATTATCATGTTACTAGCTCTAATTAAACCTTACCTTTCTTTATATCTCTTTACACCTATCCCTTTATAACATAATCATCTTAAATATTTTCTCTACATCTATTTAAAACTACATCAGATGTTTGCTTTTTAGCCATCATACTTATTTTTTAGAACTCAAAAAGAGAAAAGTATTTTATCTATTTTAAAAAAGTGTTTCTTCCTGATAATTTCATTTCTGTTCATAGAATTTTCTTTAGTCATTTTTTTAGGATAGATCTATGACAACATATTTTCTTAGCTTTCCTTAATTTTTTATGTCGAGTTACCTTTAATTCTTGAAGGCTATTTTTGCTGGATATAGGATTCTGTATTAACAGCTTTTCTTTCAGCATTTGACAAATGTGCCACTTTATTCTTGCCCTCCATGGTTTCTGGTGAGAAATCTACTTGTTGAATTATTTTTCTTTTTTAAGGAAAGATTTTTTTCCCTTCCTTGTTTCTTTCACTATTTTATCTTTTTTAGTTTTCACAAGTGTTCAAAAGTATGATGTTTAAAAGTTTTAAAAAGTGTGATACATTTGGTGGATTTCTTTGTTTTTTATCCTATTTTTGGTTTGTGCAGGTTTAGTTTCCTCCTTCTCCTTTCCTCTTAAGACTCCATTGACACAAGCATTAGCTCCTTTGTTGTAGTCCCACAGGTCCCTAGGGATTTGTTATGATTTTTTTCAGTCTTTTAGTTGCTCAAATTGAGTAATTTCTAGTGTTCTATTTGCCAATTCAGTGATTATTTCCCTCAGTTTGCTTCATTCTATTGTTAAGCCCATCCATTGAATTTTTATTTTGGTTATTGTATTTTTCACTTATTTTTTTCTTTATATATTCTGTTTTTTTGTTTCTTTTTTGCTAAGACTTCATTTTTTCCTAAGACTTTCCGTGTTTCCATTTGTTTTAAACATGTTCATAATTGCTCATTGGAGCAATAACTCTAATATTTTTGTCATCTCATTGTTGGAGTCTTGATTATTTTCTATTAAGTTTGAGATTTTAATGTGATGAGTGATTTTAAATTGAAACCTGGGCATCTGAACATTTTAGAGATGAGACAGCTGCATTTCAGAGGCTGAAGGATCGCTTCAGGCCATGGAAACCATAACTTGTAAAGTGAAGAGTTGAGTTCAGTTTTGATTTCAAAGCCATGGTTTTCTACTGTATCAAGCTACATCCCAGAAAGGAGTATAATTCTAGGAGTATAATTCTTAGCACATTCATTCAATGTGGTAATGTTTTGTACCTGTATGATAAATTCACAAAAACAAAAATTATACATTTTAACAGAATGTCAGTTTTATAAAATTAAGTTATGAAATAGTAAATCTATGCTTTTTGGACATGGAAAGATGTTTACAAAGTTTTTTAGTAGGAATAATAATATATGATTTTCAGCCCAAGCCAGTTTTACTCAGTGGATAGAGCCTTGGCCTGTGGACTGAAGGGTCCCGGGTTCAATTCCAGGCATGGGCACATGCCCAGGTTGTGGGCTCTGTCCCCAGTAGTGGGTGTGCAGGAGGCTGCCAGTTGATGATTCTCTCTCATCATTGATGTTTCTTTCTCTCCCTTCCTCTCTGAAATATATATAATATTCATTAGTAAGAGTAATATAATATTGAAAAACTCTATGTGTTTTGTATGCCTGGGGAGAGACTAGAGCAGTGGTTCTCAACCTTCTGGCCCTTTAAAAACAGTTCCTCATGTTGTGACCCAACCATAAAATTATTTTCGTTGCTACTTCATAACTGTAATGTTGCTACTGTTATGAATCATAATGTAAATATCTGATATGCAGGATGGTCTTAGGCGACCCCTGTGAAAGGGTCATTCGACTGCCAAAGGAGTCGCGACCCACAGGTTGAGAACTGCTGGACTAGAGGGATGATCACTAACCTTTTAAAGTACTTAGCTCTAGGCAATTTTTACTTTTACTTTGAACTCTTTTCTTTTTAAAAATCATCTTGCATTATTTCCCCCAACTAGATAAAATAATTTTTTTAAATCTACCATGTATGACCATTTTGTTTGCAATATTTTGTTATATTCATTTGTCTTTATTACCCTTTTTAAAGTGGATTTCAGATTGAGAAGAATTGGTTAAATCTGCTTGGTTAGAGTTTTAATGGGCACAGGAGTTATTATTCCATATGCAGTTGGTTAAATATTTTTTAGACTATGAATTAAATAAATTCAAGGGCTTCAGTAACATGTTATGAAATAGCAAAATACAAAGATTTATTTGACTATTAATCATCATGTTTTAATATAGAATGTTATACTTGATTTTACAGCTACTATTATGTTAGAGTTGATTATAAGAGTATATTACAGGCATGTTGATTACATCAAAAATTTTTACAGATGTTCATTATTCTATAATGTACAACTGTAATTTATAATGCGTGTGTATAATTTTAAAATGACTGTTTCCCAAATGAAATGATTGAAATAAATTTGTCAAAGTTTATAATGTCAAAGGCAACCATGATGAAGTAATATTTTGAAAAAATTATGAAGATAATGTATTTTCCTTCACTCTCTCCTTTGTTTTTATCTGTTGTAGGTGATTCTGGCCTTCTGGTATCGCACATTTGTGGGAATAATGAATGTATTTGGGATAGAAACTAAGACCTGCTGGAATGTCACAAGAGTCCAACCTCTAAGTGAAGTTCAAAGCTGTGAAGGCATGTTTATTTTTCCTAAAATGCTGCTATGTTGTCACTAATGTTTGCATAAACATCTTATACTGTTAGGACTTATTTTAAGAATTATTGTAAACTAGTGATTGATTTTCTTAAAAGACTATAACTGATTCCTCTTTAAAGTAATTTTCTGAGAAGGCTATGTACTTTCTAATATGAGTATTTAGAATTAGAATATTAATATACCTCAGTGCAAGGCAGTCCTGACATTAAGTCATTCCTTCCATTTCAGAATAAGATACAAAAAAGTTTTAGGGTAGCTTGAATACCTAAATGTGGGGATGTAGATTAAACAGTGACATATATACCTATGATAGTTAATATGAAAATTTAGTTATGGAAACATAAAATCAGATATACAATAGCAGATTGATTTAGAAATATTTCCCACTCTTCATATGCACCTTCTATGTTGGTATCTTAGTTCAAGAACTGCTTTTGGAACAGGTGACAGTTTTCGGGGATCTGTAATGGTTGCTGCTATTTAAGACGTGTGCGGTTTCTCACTTTACAGTCTACTGTGATGCTGTCCTTTGAACTGATATTCGAAGTCACATGTATCTACTTGCATAGCATTTACATAGCTGTTTTTCCCTTCATTTCTGCATATTCTCCACAACATGACTGCTTAGTATATTTTATAAATATGTTTTAATAGATTTGTTTGCAATAACATTTCAACTCTCAGAATATTTTTATTGATTTCAGAGGGAGAGAGAAGTAGAAACATCAGTGATGGGAGAGAATCATTGATCGGCTGCCTCCTGCCCACCCCACATCGGGGATAGAGCCTGCAACCTGGGCATGTGCTCTGACGACAAATCAAACCATGACCTCCTGGTTCAAAGGTCGCCGCTCAACAACTGATTCATGCTGGCTGGACTATTTAAATTTTCTATGTTCTGTTTTCTCAATCATTAAAAATTATTTTCATAACAACTAATCTCATAGATTTGTTCTGAGGATTATGACGTGAAGATTGTAAAGCACCTAGTCCACTGTGTGTTAACATATTTTATACATATCTATCTATCTAGTCTTATGCATGGGATTCATTATATGTTAATGCTTAAGGTTCTGGCTGCATACATAATGATGGATCAAATAACTAGGTTATCTCATATAGTCTAAAGCTGTTCCTTGAGGTCAGGGCCCATATCTTACTCATCCTAGAACCAAGCAAAAGATAATAACGCAATGGATTTTCTCTTGTAATTCATTAAGTGACTCTACAGACAGTTCCAGATACTGAACAGTAGCAGTATTTATTTCCTAAATAGAATGAAGCACCAACTAATTATTACAGTATAGTAATAATAATTAATTGGGGGAAAGTATAAATGTAGCCACAATAAAGTATAAAATCTGAATGTAACTGATCTCATGTAAGGGGAAAGTTCTAATGAACTATTAAATAGAGAAGCAATCTGTAAAGCAAATGCTTTCAGCAAATTCATGAGTTCTTGATTACAAAGCACTGCAGTCATTATGTCCAGTTATTTTATAGTCATTTATTTATTAAATAATCTATGTCTTTTTAAAGGAGTGGGAGACCCTGCTTGCTTTTATGTTGGTGTGATTTTTATTTTAAATGGAGTAATGATGTCGATGTTCTTCATATATGGTGCGTGTCTGAGGTAAGACTACTGTATTGTAAGATCTTGTAGTGGGCTTATAAGGCCTGACTGACATTTGTTGATTATAGGAAAAGGTTAATTAATGAGATCGGTATATTAATAGGAATATTTGTAGATTTTTTTCAGCTTATTAATATAGTGGAATAATGTACAACAGTGAGAAAGAATGAGAGCTGTGGCTACACATACCAACATGGACAAATATAATATTGAATGCAGGAAGGCAGGCACAAAAGTGAAATCCTGCATACTTCCATTTGTATGAAACTTAAAAGTAGATGAAAGTAAATAATAGTGTGACATGTACATAGAAGTGGCTATATTGATCATCGTGGAAGTCAGGATAGTGGCTGTCTCAAGGGATGACGAGTGGGGACTCGGATGCAATCGGTTCTCTGTCTCAATGACGTGGTAGCAGGGATGTTCACTGTATAATTACCCCATAAATTTCATGTACTTCCCTATATGTATGCCATATAGGAAAAACAGACTTAAGCCATCACAGTTTTTTGAGAGGGGGAAAGGATTACTTAAGATTATGGTGTCGGGCTTAAAGATATTTTATTTTAGGAAGTAGTTTGTATGTCTTGTGCTTCATTAAACATGGAAAATGTTACACAAGACTAAGACTTTTTAAAATATATACTTTTTATTGCTGAGCAATCGAAGAGTTATCTTCTCTAAATCAGTTACATAGTTCTGGAATGTCAAAGGAAGCTTCTGTCTTTAGGAAGGCCATGTAGATACAGCAGATGTTGACTAGAGACGTTCACTGAGACTGGAGGTATTGAATGGCATATGAGAAACACGAGAAGTAGGAATTTGTGGGGATAGTTTGTATTTCTTACTGTGGCCACCCTCCCCCACCGGCACCAACGTGGAAAGCAGCTGCTCCATTGCTGTTGTTTTGGTGGCTGAGACTAACATGTTAACATGCATGTCTAACTTCATCACCTCTACACGTAATGCCTCCTCTGTCCTCAGATCAGGGAATTTTGTAACACTTTGCTTCAAAACAGCCCCTGGCATCTTATCTTTATTACCACAGTTTGGTGCTCCTATTGCCCCTCCACAGGATTTATTTTTGTGTGTGTGTTTTACTCTATTGTTTATGTTGTCAAATCTTAGTTTTACTCACATGTTCCTAGTTTCTATATACAGTATTGTTCTCAGACATTCCTTCTCTCAATTTCTTACTTTTCAAAATGCACCCTTTGAATTTCCTTTAGTGAAAACTTGCTAATGGCAATCACTTCCCGTCTGCTTTCCCCTGATGTTTGTTAAAAAAACGATTTCTTCCTTTTTCAATCATTCAGCCAATACTTACTGTCTTCCAAGTGTGGAGCTGTGGATATAAGTGATGAAACAAAAGGCAACTTGAAGAAATGGTTCTCGACCTTTGATGGTTAGGCTACCCTCGATCTGATTTTTGTATTCTACATTGTTGTTTTCATTGGGACTCAAGAATATTTGCAGGAATTTAGACAGTTTCAAGATACTGCTAAATGAAACTGTTAGACCCTTGTTTTCATCCCTTAGTCAAAAGACAAAAATCTGCCTCCATTCTGAATATTCAAAGAATGCAATCGAGACTCTGAAGTGTGGCCTGTTTGTTAAATATTATCTTATGTCCACATCTTATAAATTTTATTTAGAAAGCAAATATAAAATTCAGATGATTTTATATGTACTCTTTATATGTTTGTACATTCAACATTAAAGCATTAACAACATGTACTTTTAAAATGTTTACTATTTTATATTTTATATGGCTTAGTACTATGACATTTTAAATATAATTTTAAATTCTAAGATAATCTTGTGTAAAACTTACTATATTTTGCATGAATTATGATTGTATACTTTTCTTACAGTGGGACTCACTTTGGAGGTCTAATTACAGTATTATGCTACTTTTTCAACCATGGAGAGGTTTGTTTTCTAGAAAATAATTTTTAAGAAATAGAAGGGATTGTATAGGAACAAAGAATTATATCCATCAAAACAATATATAATTGCATATTACTTAGAACTTCCCAGGACTTTAAAGAGCCTTGTGTTGTAAATTGATATTTAATCCTGTTGACCCACATTTTTACATCATTAGAATTTGTGACATGAAAAGTCTTGCCTGGTTTTTAGTGTATGCACTCATACACATATATTTCGCAAAAAAAGGAAATACTGTACTTGTTGAATTTAGGCACTTTGTATCCCATTTATTCCTGACAAACCTTTTTGGGAAGATGGCTGTTATCCTCACAGAAGATTTGAAATAGAAATTTACAGAGGTTAAGATCTGTACCCAAGATTACACATTCACTACATGAGGAAGCTGGGTTTCCCATTCATATCTGTCTGGCTCTAAAGCCTCATTTCTTCTATTGCATGATGCTCTCTTTTCAGTAACACAAAATGCTGAATCAGAATAGAGCGCAACCAGTTCAGTCCAACAGTGCATGCCACCTTAAAAGAGTTTGTAGGAAGTTATTTAGAACTAGAGGCCCAGTGCACGAAATTCATGCACTGGTAGGCTCCCTAGGCCTGGCTGGCGATCAGGGCCTTTCTGTGGGGCGATCAACCCCTCCCCCCCACCCTGCTGGCACCTGCCTTGGCTGGCCTGGGGGCAGCTCCTGCATTGAGTGTCTGCCCCCTGGTGGTCGGTGTCCCTGCTGGCCTGCCTTGGCTGGCCTGGGGGCAGCTCCTGCATTGAGTGTCTGCCCCCTGGTGGTCGGTGTGCATCATAGTGACTTGTTGTTCCACTGTTTGGTCAATTTGCATATTAGGCTTTTCTTATATAGGATAGGATACATTCATTCAACAAAATATAGTGTGTGTAATGTGCCAGACTCTCTGTTAGGTGCTGAGGATGTGGCAGTGAAAAGTGAGAGAATCTGATGTCTAGTTTTTGGAAGCAAAATATGAAATATGTTATGGCACAGCCTATACATGGTATGACCTTTATTCATCACCATTGAGAAAGGTAGATGATTAATTAAAGAAAATCTTTTAGACAAGGGAATAATAAAGTTATAGATAAATGTATTAAATATAGTAACATAAAGCAAACAAATGCCTTGTTATTCACCAAGTATGTTTGTGTAAAGAGATGATCACATGGTGTTTGTGAGTTCCCTAGTTAACATCTGTTCAGGCATTTTCCTGGGTGTGTATACGTCTCCTTGGGATGCCAGGGTTGTCACTGCAGCACTGGGTGTGGGTCTGTTTTTCCATCCAAGACTCTACCACTCCTGTACCTACTACCCTGTTTATCCTTTGCATTTCCTACACAGGGCCTTACAGAGCTTTCCCGTTTATGCACTTGCTAGTGAATGGCCCTCTACCTCATGGCAGTGTCGTTCAGAGAGCTCCAAAGACTGAGAAACTATACCAGGCGTTTTCAGAAGGGAATGAGCGTGGTATTAAAGCACTAAAACCAGCCCAGCCATGATTTTTTAAAAAATATTTTTTTTATTGATATCAGAGAGGAAGGGAGAAGAAGAAGAGAGAGAAAGAAATATCAATGATGAGAGAGAATTGTTGATTGGCTGCCTCCTGCACACTCCCTGTTAGGGATCGAGCCCACAACCCAGGCATGTGCCCTGACCTGGAATTGAACCGTGACCTGGTTCATAAGTTGGTGCTCAACCACTGAGCCATGCCAGCCAGGCCCCAGCCATGATTTTGAGATTAATAATGTTTATTGCAATGGAATGAAAGTGAATAAGCATTTTACTGATTTCAGGCTACTCGTGTGATGTGGACTCCACCTCTCCGGGAAAGTTTTTCATATCCATTTCTTGTGCTTCAGATGTGCATTTTAACTTTGATCCTCAGGTAATTTTTATTTATGAAACAAATATAAGTATATTATAAGGTATGTTTCTTAAAATATGCATCAACCTATTAAGTTATTCAAAAAGAAAAAAGAAAAAAAAGTTATTCAAATGTAGGTGCTGTTTTTTTAAGTCACTTTTAAAATAAATTGAATAGCCAGTTAAAATAATCTAAAATGCTAAGTTTTAGATAACTACATGATGTTTTAATAAATCAGAATGTAAGTTTTTATGTGTATTTGCTAAAGATTTCAAGGCTTTAAGGAAACTATTATTTTCTCCCCCCTCCAAGCTTATGTAATTTGACTCATAATTTTCTCACCTGTGGTTTGAAGGAACATGAATGTATATTCTGAGAAGGGAGTGTCCCATGTAAGGTTGAACTTGGGAAATGCTAGGTTAGATACACAAGGAGCATATATATTTAGATACTTGTGAAAATTTCTTAACCCCTGATGTTTCTAGCAGTTCCATCAGTTTCATCTCAGGTGCTTTTCTTGGACACATTTATTTTTGCTGGAATTAATTTTATAAGCATTTCAGACCTTAAGAGGTCTGAGAAACAGCAACAACAGAAACATAAACAGTAGAATCCCATTAATAACTTTATCCTAGAAATAGGTTTCCCAGTGAGCCCTCTCACTGAATGGTATTTACAGATAAAACAAGGTCTGATATTTCCTTTTAAAGCTCTGATTCAGATTGTTTTATGCTAAACATTTTTATAATCCCAAGTAGCACTGAAGTTCTTTTTAATGAGCTTTTAAAAGTTAACTACATCTTGTCTTCTAGCAAAGAGGAGGGAGTCATCAGATGTGGCCACTTTGCCGTTAGTTGATGTGCTTAGTGATGGGCTACTTTTAGGGGCAAACTCATCGGTGTCAGTTCTCTCCTCAGGCTCTCGCACAGCAGCGGGAGGTATTATATTGCGCTTTGCCTCTCCAATGTTGCTTTCATGCTTCCCTGGCAGTTTGCACAGTTTATACTTTTTACGCAGGTAAGATGAATGCAGATGTACTTGGTTGGTTCTATACAAGTGTTACAATGCGATTATATTTGTGCCCTAATAGATTTTCAAAAAAATGGAGTAATTATGAAGTTCAGATATATGTGTGCTTTTGAAAAATAACAAATCATAGAGTCTACAGTCTGTTAGTGTACTGCTTAGTTAGGCAGATACTCACGGTCAACATGCAAAAGTATTTTTCCGATTATTTGAATTCATGCTTTTCTTGTTGGCATGGGAAGTGAGCTCTATAAACAAATCTACCTGTAGACTTTCCTTGCCTTCGGAATTACTTTGGGTGCCAAGCTACACAACATGGTAAGGGCCAATCCTATTCCTCATGGTGGGGCTTCTGCCACTACTCCAGCTTAAACATCAGCCGTTCCGTCTGAAGGACAGAGTCTCACTGGACGCCATTTCTCAACTTTCATCATAATATTTCCGGAGTGAATTGAGACCATATCCTATTTCCCCAAACAACTCAATACTTAATGCCAAGAAGCTGATCTGAGTTTTAAAAAAAATTACACACACACACACATATATACGTACATACACACATACACATACATACTAGAAGGCCCGTGCACAAAAATTTGTGCACTGGCAGGGAAGGGAGGGTCCCTCAGCCCAACCTGTGCCCTCTCACAGATCACGCTGCCGCTCGCCCTGTGCCCTGCCCACCCCACCCAAGAAACCGCAGGCCTGGATCCTGCGCTGGGGCAAGCGGCCGCTCAGATCTGCTGCCGCCCACCCCGCCCAAGACACGGCACATTTCTGAAGAGGTTTTTGTACTTGCAGTCACTATGTGTGTGTGTGTGTGTGTGTGTATATTATTGATTTCAGACAGGAAGGGAGAAAGAAATAGAAACATGATGAGAGAGAATCATTGGCTGCCTTCTGCAAGCCCCCCAACTGGGAATCGAGCCCACAACCTGGGCATGTGCCCTGACCTGGAGTCAAACCGTGACCTCCTGGTTCATAGGTCTGTGCTCAACCACTGAGCTATGCCAGTCAGGCTGAGTTAATTTTTTTATTATATCATAGAGGAGGGAATAGTAGATGTGACCATGAAATGTGTAAGGTCTAGGTCTGGATTTATTCTTTGTGCCCGGTGTGCAAGTCTCCCAGCACTGTTTGTTAAAAAGGCTATCATTTCTCCATTGAGTTACCTTTGCTCCTCTGTCAAAGCTCAGTTGCCTATAATTGTGAGCATCTCTTCCTGAGCTTGCTCTTTTATTCCTCTGGCCAGTTGTCTATTCTTTCTCTGATCCCGTGTGTCTCAGTTACTGCAGCCTTGTAGTAAGTCTTAAAGTCAGTCTCCAACTGTTTTCAAGAGTTTTTTCTCTGCCTTTGGCTTTGAGCAGTTTTTACTATGATATGCCTAAGTGTGGTCAGGTTTATTTATTCTAATTTATCTCTTGTTGGGGTTTGTAATAGTTTATAAATCAGTGCTTGATTTTTTTCTATAAATTTTGGGACCTTCCCAGGTAAAATCTCTTTTAATATAGCTTTTACTTAATTCCCTTATCCCTTTCTGAGATGTAAAGTAAAATATATTAGATTTTTACAACATATACTCTACATCACTCATGTTCTTGCATATATTATTCACCCCTTTGTCATTTTATGCTTTTTTCTAGATGTTTTCTTCTGACCTGTTTTTCAGTTTGTCACTTGTTTAACCTGCTTGTAAACCTGTCTTTGACTTCTTAATTTTGATTATTGTGGTATCTAGTTGTACATTTTCAATTTGTTTGTTTCTTAAATGACTTTCATGTACTCTCCTGGAATTTTCAATCCTATCTGTTATTTCCTTGCACATGTCAAACATAAAGTCATTGCCTGATGATGTCAGACATGTTTTTGAGTGATTTGTGAGCTAAGAGTGGTTTTTATATTTTTAAAGTGTTGTTCAAAAATAAAATAGAACCCTAGCCAGTTTTCTCAGTGGTTAGAGCATCAGCCCATGCACCAAAGGGTCTCGGGTACTTCGGTTTCAGGCTCGAACCCTGGCCCTGGTCAGAGCACATGCAGGAGGCAACCAGTCGATGTGTCTCTCTCACATCGATGTTTCTCCCGCTCTCAGTCCCCCTCCCTTCCACTCTCTCTAAAAATCAATGGAAAAAATACCTGCGGGTGAGGATTAACAACAACAACAAAAATCGAGAAAGAATACAGCAGGTCCTTAACCATTGTTTCATTTAATATTGTATTGTTATAACATTGATGAGATTCCATGAGAACTTATATCAATTAGCCTGTGGTAAAATAGTTTTCATGTATATCTTTTAGCTTAAAGTTGCTGAAGCCTATTGACCATGTTAAGTGGTAGCTTACTGTATAAAATAGAAACTATATATGGCCCACACAGTACAACATTTACTATTTGGCTTTTTATATAAAAAGTTTGCTGACCCCTGAAGTAGATTAAGGATCTGTTTCCATTGTGTTTGTAATAATGCCTTATCTCTTCCTGTATCTAGTTAGTTTTGATGTGGTGTTGGACATTGTACGTGAACAGCGATATAGTTCATTTGAGACTAGGTTGATACTAACATCTTCCAGAGAAGATTAGATTTGCTGCCAGCAGGCAAATAAAGACACTGACAATCTTGAGTTACCCTCATGTGATGAGAGAACGATAGAGGTCAAAGGCTTTCGTCTTTCTGAGCATGGCTCGATTTCTGGCTCTTTAGTATAGTTCTTTGAAGCCCCATGCCAAAGCCTGCGGACTTAGCAAGGATCTCATTCTTGGTGTGTTTTCACTTCTGAGTCTGGAAATCTCCCACCTGCATGTCAGCTGGCAGGCATCTGCTACTGTTGGAACTGGCAGATGCCTCTGGGAGAAAAGTGCCCCAAATTGTCATGCTCAGCACTGCAGCTTTCCATCTTTTCTTTGGTCTTAGCTTCTTTCATTTTTTTTTTTTTTTTTTTTGGTCTTGTTAGTAATTTGTGGCTTCCATTCAGGGATTTTCCCTAGCTATTCTAGTTCCCAATGAGAAGGTTAGTTGAAATTACTTCATTATCATTATTAGAATATTGGAAATATGATTCCACTGTTACTTGTACTTTGCTTATGAATAGTGAAGTATTTGTTTTCTGCATTTTTTTCACTTTTGCTTTTTTTTATATCTTTATTTCAGATAGCCTCATTATTTCCTATGTATGTTGTGGGGTACATTGAGCCAAACAAATTTAAGAAGATCATTTATATGAACATGGTAACATTTTTTTGTACTTATAAGTCAAATATTAAAATAAGATCTCAGGGATGCCTTCTTTCAAGTTTGATTTAATACATCAAAATGGAAATGTACATTACAGATACCATATTACAACATACTTTCAACTACAGAGTTGCTGTGTTTAATCTCTGAAACTTTTATTTTTATGTTTTAGTTATTATTAGTCACTATTTTTGAAACTGTCTTTTCCTTGAGACCTGAAATTTCTAGCACTGTGCATGAATATGACACTCTGTAAATTTGATGTTTTTGCATTTTTGGTTTTATCTTAGTTTCTAAACACATCTCCTTTAATAACATAAATATTTTCTAGCTAAGAACATAAAATAAAGCTTCCTTATTAATAGAAATCCTCAGGTACTGCAACAAAAATAAGATAAAAATTAATACAACTAAGTTTTATTTATTATATTACTCCATTATTGAATCAATAGAAATAATAGTTTTTTTTGCAGTTTTCTTTGTACCAAGTAGCAGAGAAAAAAAATTAAATTTTTCTATATAGAATTCATAGTGTTGAAACCACTTAGAATCAGTGTGTTGAAATTCTATTATCATTCAGCCAAGACCTATTTATTAATCTTATGTATGCATAAAATGTTTGTATTGGAATGGCTATATGCCTGTAGACAAAGTCTGCATTGTGCTATAGATCCAATAATGATGAGACATTTTTCCTTCACTTTTCAGATTTCAGTTCTCCTTTGTTTCGTGTTGATGTTTGGAAATTCATTGTATTTATCTTCTTATTATTCTTCATCTTTGTTAATGACATGGGTAAGTATTTGTTAAGCTCATGAAGTTTTTTGTTGTTTTTTTTTTTAAACCTGTGAAATAGGAGTTTTAATGCACCTCATATAGGTTTAGGAGAACATTGAGAGCCCTTTCCTGATTATTACTCACATGAAAAAAATTTTCCCAAATAGCATCTATTCTCTAGCTAGCTCATCCTTGGAAAAGAACATGGTACAAAATTTACCATTATAGGGCAAATACCCAAGTAAATATTTTTAAAAAAACAACTAGCAGGTAAGACTGACTTTTTAAATTTTATTTTAAATAAGTATTTATTGATTTCAGAGAAGAAGGAAGAGAGAGAGAGAGAAACATCAATAATGAGAGAGAATCATTGATCAGATGCCTCCTGCCTGCCCCTCACTGGGGATCGAGCCCACAACCCAGGCATGTGCCCTAACCGGGAGCTGAACCATGACCTCCTGGTTCATAGGTCGACACTCAACCACTGAGCAACACAGGTCGGGCAAGACTTACTTTGAAAACATACCATTAATTTATGATCAAGATTAGTTCTTTCCTTCTCAGTCACTTCAGTAGACTCAGTGCGTATTGCAGTGACACTGCCATTGCTCAGAATACTTTTGGGACTCCTCTGAATTGCCTTCACAGGCTGTGGCACATTCTTTTGAATATCCTCAATGGTGGCAAAACTTCGTCTTTCAAGGGTGGATTTGATTTTTGGAAACAACCAAAGTCTTGTGAATAAGGTGGGTGATTGGGCTGGGTGATATGTAGATCTTGATCAAAATATGGTGTGACATTAAAGTAATAAGACCTATTTTCTTGCACCCATACCTAAATTATCTTTGGGAGGTAGTTTAGAAAATGGAGTTCCAAACTGTTTTGAGCAATGATAACATAATTAGAATAGGTAAGTAGTCTCCTCATGTGACTGACTTTCACTGAATGACACCCATTTGGATATGAATTTGGAACGGTGGTTCAGTAAATCGGCTTTATTACTTTATAGTCACACTTCTGATATTCCTAAGCCAGAACCTATAATATTCTCCACTGGAATGTTCGTGGCATGTTTTCTTTCCACAGTTACCAAAAATGATACCAGCCACGGTAATACCAAAATAGGGCACTTTTCCACATATGGTGTATTGATGGAACCATTTGGGATTGCCCTTACGTTTTAAGTTTTTGCTTCCCGCACCTTTTTTCTCTCCACAATAAGTAATCCATTCTCTTTCTCCCAAAAAATGCAGGCTTTTCATTTTCAAAAATTTGTCAAGCTTTTTCAGCATGACAAAAGATTTGTAGTAATGTGGCCATCCACCTCTTTTTAAGAAAACTATTTTATTTTGAAATACAGAAAACTGCATGAAACAAGTGTTTCATGTACTGACAGCACTAACTAGTACTGAAAGTACTTATTAATGAACTGTTATTTGGCAAATAAACTGCCATCAAGTCAAAAATCAGATTTTTTCCAACCATCCTGTTCCAATAATGATTTGACTATGGTAATCATTCCTAGACTTCCTTTATATTTTCATTTCATTTACATCTCTATTTTTAATCTATAGGTTTCCTATATATCTGCCTGTTTTCTTTCCTAGGAAATGTAAGAGCCTAGGTCATTGAACATGTAGAGGATTCTATGGTCTAGATTTTACTTTTTGAATCCTCATGGCTTAGCTTTACATCCTCCTCTGTCTTCTGTATTTATAATGTGTTAATAATTGAATCCAAAGCTTGGATAGGTTAAAGTTTTATCCCTTTAGCATAGCATTGTTCTTTTATCAGGAGGCACATAATAGCCAGAGCCTCCCTTTTTATGATAGTAGTCATCAACACATTGTACCAGATCCATTAACCCAGTAGAAATTGCACATTGGTGATAGTCCAGTCCCTCATTTGCAGTTAATATAGGAAAAGTAAAGTACATGTCTAAATATGTAAAGTTGGGAAGAGATAGAAAAATATTAGAAGAAAAAATACTGCCAAAATTTTTCTAATTTGATGAAAATTATTAACTCAGAGATAAAGGATCTCAGTAAATCCCAAATCCAAGAAAACTGTAGTAAGGCATATATAATGAAATTGCTCAAAATCTGTGATAAAGACACAATACTAATAATAGCCAAAGAAATAAGACGTGTTAACTATAGAAGAACAAAGGGTAAGGATGTCAGCAGATTTTTCACAAGAAAAAAAATACAAACAATAAGACAGTTAAGCAACATATTTATACAATATTTACAGAAAAAAAATACTGTCAATGTACAGTTCTATACCTAGCAATATATGGCTCAAAAATGAGGGCAAATTAGACTCCATGACCAGATTTGCAGTAAAAGAAATTTTAAAGGAGGTCCTTCAGCTGGTAGGAATATAATATTAAGTGTCAGTATGGCACTGCACAGGTGAAGCTAGCGGTGCTGCTACAACACAGATACCATAGGCTGGGTGGCTTATTTCTCATAGTTCCAGAGCCTGGCGAGTCCGAGACCAAGATGCAGCTGATATGATTCTTGGTGAGGGCTCTCTTCTTCATGTGTAATCAGATGCCTTCACTCTATCCTCACATGAGGGCAGAGAAATCATCTCCTTCATGTCTCTCCTTAGAAGGGTACTAATTCTATCCATTAGAGATCTAATTATCTCCCACTGGTTTCATTCCAGTACGTCACATTGGAGATTCAGGTATTGGCACATGCATTTGGTGGGGGACATAAGCATTTCATTGATAGAACCGAGAGTCTGATTTTTGAGGACCTGGCTTTACACATGAGTCTCAATTTCTTACCTTTCATAACTCCAAGCCCTCCTCTGCTGCCCTCCTTTTTAATACTAGCATGTAGTAGCCTCTCTCTACAGTCCTCCCTAAAGACTGCCATACATTCTCACCTAATTAATGTTTCATTTTTAAAATCGCCTTCTTTTGTCTGGTATCTGGAAAGTTCCTTTTCTTTCTTAAAAGTCAAGTTAGGTTTTAAAAATTTTTTCAAAAAATTTTATTTGGGAGTTTGGAGAGGAAGGATTTTTATCTTAAACCACTAATTTTTCTGGATAGCTTACATATCCACTTGCATGGACACACCATCCACACACCATCTACCTCATCTGAGGAGTTGCCCTACACAAAACATCCCAAGTAATGCAGTGAGGAATTAACTTGATTCCAGAGGCAACTTTTTAGCACACACAGCACTTATCCCTCACCCCAAGGAAAATTTGTCATTTTCAAATTTTGAAAAATCAGCAATTAAGAAGGAAAATGGCTGGTATAGGCAAGATAGAAGATGGGGTGGCTGTGTAATTTTTGAAACATATAATTCATCTAAAATATGATTGTTAATTTTATTTGTTTCATTTTTTTATTACACGTACTTTAGGTGATAATTCTAAAGAGAAATAACATTCAAAGATTGGGTGTATCTGAACTCAACTTTTGGGTAAGATTCAACATTTTAAACATAATTTCTTTAGACTTTTTATTTCTATAAACTGAACATGATAATGTACTTAAAAAGGAATGATTTAGAGTTAATCAGTCTTATAAATAGCTACTTGCTTAAGGTGGGAAATAGTCCTTAGCAACATCTACAAATCATTTTTAAGAAACTTGTTCATTTATTTCAGTACTATTTATTTCTCCATAATCTCCCAGCCTCCTCTTATTTCAACTTAGACACTGCTTAATCTTTGACTTCCTCCCAAGTATACAAATGGTGGGCCATGTTACCTCTATGTACGTGTATTTTCTTTCCAAGTAAAATAAGTATATTATTAGAGAGGCACTGCAATTACTAATTACCATAATATCAGCAGCTGACATTCATGCTTTTTCTTTGATTGACTTCTATTAAAAATTAGAACCTGCCATATTGAAGGACTATGTGATTATATATTGTATATCAGTAGGGTAAAACTAGAGAAGTTACGGTAAGATAAGGAAGTTCATTTCAGAAAGCAAAAGAACAAAGTGGAATGTATTGCCAGTTTCTCTTTACTTGAGGAATTCTCCATCCCTTGTGGTGAACATGTAGGAATATTTGTAACCTTAAGTTATTGGTGACATGACTCTTTCAATATATATATATTTTTTACTTCAGAAAGAAATGGTAATTTTAAAACCAAAAAATCAACAGAAAAGTCAAAGTTTTCTTTTAATAACTGTACTCAAAGAAGTTGAAAATTTCAATGATAAACTATTGAAAAATGACAACATAGGACAGTGTCTGTGAACATTTAGAGAATTCTGTCAAAGCATTTGCAGAGGCAAATTTATTGTTTTAAATATTTTCAGTTTTAGACTGGACAGAATAAAAGTGAACTTATGCTTTCATTTTACTAATTTGAAAGAAACAAAATTCTAAGAAAAGTTGAGATATAATGAATGTTCAGCATATATTTGTATTTTGAAACTTGTATAATTTATATCATTAGTCTCTTGCATAAGGGAGAAACAGATCATGGTAGTCATCTAAACCCATGCAAAAGATGTCCTGGCTTTTAAAAAGCCAGTCAAAAAGGAAAAGCAAAGATATTTTGTGAACTGACACTTTTTCTTACATAAAACCTATTTTTTTCTCAAGTAATTCTTTCCTGGTAGTGGAATAAAGATTATATTGCATATCTTACTCTGTCATAACTGGAAAATTTGAAAACAATGAAGGTCTTCTTTTTATATGGAGTGAGTAAAAAATAAAAAATTGTCACTTATGATTGATCAAAATCTATTTTTAATATTATTTCCTGTCCTGTGGCCACTTGAAAGAAAGAAAACACCTGTCTATAATTATGTACCCTCATTCTGATCAAATTGGGTTCATCCCAGGAATGCAAATATGTTTCTGGAAAATCCATAAATATAAATTATCACACAGATTAAAGGAGAAAAGTGACTATATCCCATAAGATGCAGAACATGAATTTAATACAATTGAACACCCATTTATGGTAAAAAACTCTTAGCATAGTAGAAATAGCAGGGAGTTTTCTTAACTTAATAAAATTCTTTAGCAATCATTGGTTGTACAGGTGAGGTACTTAGAGTGATTAAATTTTTTTCTATGCCATTTATTGATATGACAGAGTATTTTAACTAGATAATTTTTAGTACCTGACTTCTATCTATTTTATTTATTCTTTAGCTAATTCAGTGTTTCGGTTGGTTTTGTGGAACAATCATTTTGAAATTCCTGACATCTAAAATCTTAGGCGTTTCAGATCATGTAAGTACTTTCCAGTTAAAACATAAAACGTTTTGTAAACATGTATACCTGGGTGAAAACTTTGGAACCACCTATTTTTTTACCCCTTCATTTTATATAGATTAAGTGCCTTCTTCAAGGGCCCCAAGCTAATGATTGGTAGAGTAAATACTGAGAAAAATGTGTACCAATGAGTGCTGACTTAGCCTTCTAGGAAAAAATTAATATGTTTAGTAGTTAATTTGTTTATTTCAGTTGAATTATTTGTTTAATCATTTATTGCAGATGTTAGCACATGAGCAGTCTGTACTCAGCTTTGAAACATAGAACTCTTAAAATACCAATATTTTTATTCATAATTATGGATTAAATGTAAGAGATGATTTGATGTATTAAAATATTTTTCTTAAAAGTTCTATATCTTTTTATCTTCTGGAAAATACATGGACCACTTACCCCTCATGAGTGGCATTTCTGCTTGTTTTAAGGCTAATTCCTTAATAATGGCCCTTTTAAAAACATAAGTCCTTACTTAAAAATTAGTTTAAGAAATAGGAAACAGTGCATAAATTTACTTTTGATTTTTAGCACTTACTGTTGGGATATGAGCATACATGCATGAATCCTGCAAATATCTACTCTGAAGTTCACCTTATCTAGTACTATCCAATTAAGACCCTATCTAATGTTGGAATCACTTCAACTTTAACAAGGGGTGTGGTATTTACTCTCTAAAAGGTCAAGTGCTGTCATTATCCAATAGAATTGAACTTGCATACACGTGCATGTTAAATACAACTTCAGAATGTAAAGATTTATTTGCTATTTATTGCTAGCTTTTCTCAGTGGTTTGTTAGGGTTATTTGCTGCTGCTGTTCTCTGTGTATCTGACACATTTTCTTTTTTTTCTTTCCCCTTTTGTTCTTAACTTTTTATTCTCTGGGGAGTGTATTATTTTATGATAAACTTTCTTGAGTTCTCCTAGGTTATTTACTTACCTGTTACGTTATCTGTGGTTTTCTTTCCTGCCTCGCTCCACGTTGTCACCCGACTCTTTACAAATCTTACACACACATGCACACACACACACACATATGCACACACACACATGCACACACGCACACATGCACACACACATGCACACACACACACACATCCTGGGTACGTGACTTCCTCTGTGACAGCAGTGAGAAAGAGTTGAAACTAAAGTGTTTTGGTTAAATTATTAGTCACCAGGCTCCTAGTACTATCCAATTAAGACCCTATCTAATGTTGGAATCACTTCAACTTTAACAAGGGGTGTGGTATTTACTCTCTAAAAGGTCAAGTGCTGTCATTATCCAATAGAATTGAACTTGCATACACGTGCATGTTAAATACAACTTCAGAATGTAAAGATTTATTTGCTATTTATTGCTAGCTTTTCTCAGTGGTTTGTTAGGGTTATTTGCTGCTGCTGTTCTCTGTGTATCTGACACATTTTCTTTTTTTTCTTTCCCCTTTTGTTCTTAACTTTTTATTCTCTGGGGAGTGTATATTTTATGATAAACTTTCTTGAGTTCTCCTAGGTTATTTACTTACCTGTTACGTTATCTGTGGTTTTCTTTCCTGCCTCGCTCCACGTTGTCACCCGACTCTTTACAAATCTTACACACACATGCACACACACACACACATATGCACACACACACATGCACACACGCACACATGCACACACACATACACACACACACACACATCCTGGGTACGTGACTTCCTCTGTGACAGCAGTGAGAAAGAGTTGAAACTAAAGTGTTTTGGTTAAATTATTAGTCACCAGGCTTGCTCTGAATTAGAACAATAAAGGAAACTCTCACTTATTCTTGATCCTGGTAGATGATGGGAACCATGAAGAACCACAGGTCATCATATAAGGTTGACATAAAATAATTTCTGTCTCTGTAAAACACTCTGAATTAAGGTTTTCCATACCAACTATTTCCCTGGTTAATCTGGCCGTCTGAGAATGCAGTGGAAAAAGAATTGTCTCCCCGACAGCAGGTAATAAAACAATCCGGAGAACATAGGAGTCCCGCTGGGGTTTGTTTGGCGGTGCTTATTTTAGAGGCCTTGGGGGTCAAGGAACTAAGTCAAAGTGGTATGCGCAGTTGTAACCCTTCTGAAGGACAGCTGTCATGTTTAATGGCTTGATTGTACGTCCGAGAAATTCAAGAAGCACCAAAAGTTGTAATCGGTGCATGAGGCTTTATGAAAATGACAGCGCATAGAAAATTGGTTCATGATTTACAATGTGTGGTAAAAGGGCTTAACATGAAACTGTTTTTTCTTGATAAATGATGTGATTATAAAATCTCATGATTAACTGCATGGTGGTTTCTGCCCAGCAAATATTGATTTTAACTCACTCTTTACATTATCATCTCCGCTTATTTTTTCTGACCTCTTTCAACTTTTCATTTCTCTTGACATTTTTTTTCATAGTTCAGCGTATAGCATGTATTGTATTACTCACTGTATTTTTTTTTCCTTTGAGAGGGATGCCAGGTACCGGATTTATGTGCTCTGTAGCTTTTATTACCATGATATCAAATGACTGCAATATTGGCATAATTTTAATTTGCTTTACTCTATTTTCTTCCAGATTCGCCTGAGTGACCTAATAGCGGCGAGGATCTTGAGGTTTACAGATTTTGATACTTTAATTTACACCTGTGCTCCTGAATTTGGCTTTATGGAAAAAGCGGTTTGTTGGTTTTTTTGTTTGTTTTGTTTTGTTTTTTCCTTCTCTACTGGTATAATTTTTTGCTCTGAAGTTTTCTTTTGAATCTGAAACTCAAAATTTTTGTTCAGAAACATCCAACTTTTACCCTATCACTTTTCACAGTAACTTTTGCTAATCAGATGGCCTTCCTCACCTGTTTCCTCATGTGTAAAAGCACTAAACAAGGGCTCCTATATTACGAAGTTATTGGTGGTGGTTGAATGAGATAATCCAGGAGGGTGCTTAACTTATCATGTGATCCACAGTGAATGACTATTACGACAGTTCAATCACTTGTAATAATCTAGGTCAGTTGGAGGTATGGGACTACCCAGAAAAAGTAAATCCAAATTCTTATTTAGGTTTTTTAAAAATTCAGTTTTATTTCATTTAATACCCCAAATCATACAAAAATTTTAAACAAGACGTTGCCAGCAAAGGGACACTACTAATCTTACTTTAAAATTTAATAAATGACTATTTTGAATAAATTGTTTTATTTCAGACTCCAGTGAGATACATAAGGACATTATTGCTTCCACTTGTTATGGTGATTACTTATTTCATCTTAAAAAAGGTATTTAAATTTTTTAACACTTTGGGTTAAAGAGAAGAACTTATAATAGATTGATAATATCTCAGAATTCTGTCTTATTTTTAGGATGAGCTCTTCCCCTCCCAAAACCGTTTTTTATTGAAATCTTTTTTTTAATCTAGTATTATGTGGGTTTTGTTTTTTAGAAAGCCACATTATAAAAGGTCTTTTCATGTAATGTATCAATCACCCGCCATGTAGCCAGAAGATGTTAACATCGTAGGCACAAAGACAGGCCCGTGCCGTAGAACTTACAGCCTGTGGGAATTGGGGGACCTTAAACCTAAAACCACACAAATGACCAAAGAATTATAGTTGTTACAGATGCTATGAAAGTGAAGTATAGGACGGGTTTTTTTTAATTTTTTAAAAATATATTTTATTGATTTTTTACAGAGAGGAGGGGAGAGTTAGAAACATCCATCAGCTGCCTCCTGCACACCTCCTACGAGGGATGTGCCTGCAACCGAAGTACATGCCCTTGACCGGAATCGAACCTAGGACCTTTCAGTCCATAGGCCGACGCTCTATCCACTGAGCCAAACCGGTTAGGACAACAGTTTTCATCTTTCAAATATAAAGTTCATTCCAAGAAATTTTGATCCATTTGGAGACATGCACAGGAGAAATTTGTATAGCTGTTAAATCATTCTGTATATGTTCATTGTTTTCATAGCAAAAGAACATATTATCGCTATAGAAGAAATAATGTTGAAACTGGCAGATTTTTTTGGTCTTGGAGTGGTTGATCTGGAAGCTTGGTTAAAGACAGTGGGTCCTTAGTTTTAGCAATTTTGAACTAGTTTTATATGGTTTACAAGTTGTCTTGCTTAAGTCAGTATATATTTATTTTATGCTTTGGGCAGATAACAATAACATGATTTCTCTACCCCCATCCCCTACCAAGGGTGGTCTGTTGAAACTAGTTTTTGGTGTTTAGAATCAAATTGCTTATCTTCTCTCTGTAGTTCCAGTTCCCATGTTTCTCATTCCTTTGTTTTCACATAGAATGTGAATAATTTATGAGTGAGAAAGGCACCTCCTCCACATCTCTGTAGTTTCACCCCTGATCCAGGTCCTTAATGACTTGGACAACTAGTCAACCCCAATGACTTGGACAACTAGTCAACCCCCAGTGACTTGGACAACTCTTAATAACATGGACAACTGGTCAACTCCAATGACTTGGACAGTTGCTCAACCCCAGTGGCTTGGACAACTGGTCAGCTCCCAATGGCTTGGACAATTGGTCAACCCCCAATGACTTGGACAACTGGTCAACCCCAATAACTGGGACAACTGGTAAAAACTGAATGATTTGGACAATAAAAACACTTCTTTTTCCCGTGGCCGGATGGCTCAGTTGGTTGGAGTGTCATCCTGTGCACTGAAAGGTTGCGGGGAGGGTGTTCAGTTCCAAGTCAGGGCACATACCCAGGTTGCAGGTTAGATCGCTAGTTGTGTTGTGTATGGGAGGCAGCCAGTCGATGTTTCTTTCTCACATAGATGTTTCTCCCTCTTCCTCCTTTATTCTCACTTTCTAAAAAAGTCAGTAAAAGCATAGTCTCAGGTGAGAGTGAAAAAACCAACTTTCTATTGGGTGTGTTTATGTTAATGAATGGGAACATTTTAAATGTCAAATAATTTCTTAGAAAACTTTCTTTGATTCTATTCACAGACTTTCCGTGATGTTTTATGTGTCTTGTGTACAAACACTTATCAAAGGTAATGATATCACAGTTGTTTCTAAATCATATTATATTTATTAAATGACTTGCTGTTTTCAGTTTTTCAAATGAATGTACATTAAACTTCAGCATTATGATTAAGAAAATCCATATTAGAAGGCCTCTACATCCTGTAAAGCTTTGCTATAAAACTAAAACACCTAGTTTTTTTAATGAAACATAAAAATAGGCAGCCATATACTCTTGTGTGAGTCTGATATGAACTCTCTGAGGACAGAGCCAGTATCAGTGCTGTTCATTCTGTGTTCACTGCACAGAGCCTAGAACACAGTAAGACTGCCCTAAACGTTTAGTCAATTTCTAGCTGTAAATATTTAGTAAATTTATTAGACAACTTTCTGGAAATAAGAATATTTATAGACGTTACCCAGTAACTTTTCTTCTAGGAATTTATGCTAAGGAAATACTCAGAGATGCTCACAGTTTTATGTACAAGGGTGTTCATGGTGTTTATAATTGTGAAAAATGAAAACAGTTCTGAAGTCCAGCAATGCGTAAAGTTTTGCATTCACTCTATATGGTTGAATAGACAATCTTATTAATTTATCCCTTCAGAGGCATATTCTCCAGCAGTTAGTAAAACCTACTTTATAAGCCTAGGTGGCATTGTGTAATGTCATCACAAGATGGCAGCTGCAACATTGTCACAAGATGGCCACCACATTTGAGGGTGACCAGGCCAGCAGGGAAGGGCAGTTAGGGGCGATTAGGCTGGCAGAGGAGGGCAGTTGGGGGCAACCAGGCTGGCAGGGGAGCAGCTAGGCATCAATCAGGCCAGCAGGGGAGCGGTTAGGGGGCGATGAGGCTGGCAGGCAGAAGTGGTTAGGGGCAGTCAGGTAGGCAGGCAGGCGAGTGGTTAGGAGCCAGCAGTCCTGGATTGTGAGAGGGATGTCCGATTGTGTGAGGAACACCTCACCCCCCTCCCCTGCACAAATTTCATGCACTGGGCCTCTAGTTCATGTATAATTAGGAGTCCATAAATAATGATTTCCATCCTTTATCACC